GCGGCTAAATCACCGAATATTCGTTTAAATGGTACTAAAAATGTCCACTTGAATTGTACGAATTGAGTAATGTCATGTCTTTCATAATTTTACTATTGAAAGTATATTTTATTTATGGGTTAAGTCTACTTGAAATGTTATGTTTTCGAGGTACTTTAGACTTATTTCCGATTATAGCAAATAGAAAGTTTGATAAAATGTTTTTGGAATCAAACAAAGAAAACATTAAATTAAATTAGTACATTTCACTTTAATTTGGTCGTCAGTTTAGATATATTAATAATTGGTTAGTTACAGAGGTGATCCCGTTGAATAATGTTCGGCCGAATATTCTGTTCGGTAAAAGTTTTACTGAACTTTCGGCCGAATATTCGTATTCGGTGACAACCATATTCGGCCTATATCAAATTAAAATCAAATCCAATCTTGAATATTTGTTTTTCTCAATCTTTTTAATTATTAAATTGAAATGATAGTAAAATTTAGGTCCTTTGGAATTGCGGCGATTTATAATTTTTGAAATGAATTTTAAACCAATTGCCAATCAAATAAGCAATTCTGCATATTGCTCCATTAAAATCGAATCGAATATTGACAAAAACAAATATTCAAGCAATAATATTTATATAATAATGAATATTTGAAAACAAATATTAAAGCAGTATGCTAGCAATGAAGACGTCTTAAACTCACATTATATAATGACTTATATCAAATAATTTAAAGCTCAAAATAAGTTATGCTTCTTTGCATTATTTCTAACACTTTTTTGAATAAAATATGTAATACAAAAAATTATGCGCTGTATGCCCTGTAGTGTAATAAGTCGTGACGGCGTAAGAGAATTTGCTACTCTAAAACATGAGCTATGCGTAGCAGCCTCTTCGGAAAAAAATATGCTGCCGTTGCCAACCCACCTGATATACTGTGGCAAATATTCCCATAGTATCACGCATAGAATACCATAATACATACATAATAGAACGGGGGAGTGGGCGGAGCCCGCGTAGCCACTAAAATGTCACTAATACGTCAATTCACACGTATAAATGTCAACACGATATGTGTTTTGACGGTTACAATGGTTTCCAAATTTTGCATGCAAATTATTTAGAAAATGCCAAATTGCACACTATTTACGAATAAATATGTATGTGTTAAACGATTTTTTTTTAATGAGATTCACTCTGTCAACACAGCGAATCGGGTTTGTCGACGCCCTTCCTCGTACAAAATAAAGCAAACTGGTACAAAATACAGCCATTCTATTGTGTATTATAGTATTCTATGGTATCACCAACCTTTAGCAATAGACTTTGTGTTTAAAAATAAATTATTTGATGAATATTGTAATAATGCATTCTATAGACTCATAGATTATATCTAGCCTATTTAATAACGACATATCTGCTAATTATAAAAATACATTTGTATAAAAAAAAATAAGACTCATTAATCTTACTTTTATAATTTGGTGGTTCAATTTAAGCGTATTCATTATTACATATCATTGATAAATCAGTTTAGAACGCATGAATATATAAAATGTGTAACAGTAATTAAATATTATTAACTCAATTTTGGTAGCAACAAGAGTAATTATTTCTTTCTTTTAAAAAGTTTACTTCTTAACCTTTGGGCTTTAATTTGGAAATAGTTCTCATCATCATCTACTTCTTTTCTCCCAGTCAATATTCTATTATTATTTTTAAAACTATTAAAAATCAGACAACACATCACAATATTTATCAAATAATCAACTAATTTATTTTTATGCACATTACATTTCATAAAATCGAAATCAATTAAAGTATATAATATGCTTGTTTTCATAATTTCTTTTAACTGATCATTTTCAAAATTGTCCTTTGAAATATGATTGACTATATCCCGCATATCTGAAATTGATTAAATCAAATCATTGCATGGAGTACAAAGCCACCTGCATATTCTCTGTATTTTAGGTATTCTATTTCATCTTCAGAAAATAGGTCATATTTACAGTTTTTTTTATTCTTAGAAAAAGGGCTTTGTCACTGAAGCGATTATGACGCCCTGGTACAACAAAATTCTTAAATAGTATAAATTCTAACAAATAAACTTATTAATTATTTAATCTCTTATTTACTAACACAAAGTTTTTTGGCATCATCTGATAACGGGTCTGAAAAAATACTATTATTATAATACTGCTAATCAATGACAAACATAAAATACATTTTTTTTCTTTCTATGGAGTTCTGGGCACATTCTATCAAAATGTGATAAGCATCATCTATAACATTGCAAGTTGAACAGTTTGGTGAGGTAGTTTTTCGCTTCAAGTACAAAAATTTATTGCATAGAATGTGCCCAGATCTGAGTCTTAATGCTATCACAGTATCGGGTCTACACAATATTCCATTATCTATCCAGGTTGAGCGCATTGGGTACGGCTGGATCGTACGGTACCATATACCCTTTTCTTTTGCTCTTTCGTCAAAATATTTCTTCCAAAGGTCATAACAATATTTTTTTTTAATAAAGGTAAAGGTATATAGTTTTGAAATGAAGGGGTAAAATTAATAAAATAGCCGAAATAGCTTGTTTGGCTAAAATATCAGCTTTTTCATTACCCTCTAAGCCAATGTGCGAAGGTATCCATTGTAAATATACTATTCTGGAGTCAGCCTGTAACTTTGAGTCTGTTAAAATAACAATATTGCATATTTACAGTTAACACAATGTTTATATTTAGTTTCATAGTAATTGGCGTGAGGTTTATTTCTAAAATTTTTGTGAAATCAAATGTGCAGGTTGACGATGCCTCTAAGTTTTCATTAACAATGAGTGTGCACAGCATTACAATAATCTAGCTCGCAGTTTTTACCATGAGAGTGGACACTACTTAAATTATTAATCAAAAGGGTGGCAAAAGCTGACTCATATTGGTCACAAGTTGGATTAATATTACGGCATCCATGGCGTTTAACAGATCCAAAGCAATTTTCCAGTGGGTCCTGATTCAGATGACGCAACCAAACTGATGTAATGCCAAAATCAATTTCAATTTTTTTTTTTAATAAAACTGCCATCCCTTCTAGTGGCCACACCCAATTGTTTACAGTTGGAATAAATTGTACCAGTGGAAGATACACATCATAGACGCAAAAACTTTTTTGGCATCCATACATGTTTTGTGATGTATGGAGTGAGCTGTTGCAGGTCCAAGTCGAGTTTTGGCATCTTTTCTTTTAAAAACTGCCATTAACTGAGTCGAAAATATTATCCATAAAAGCAGCAGATCAGCATCTTCGTACTCTTCTTGAAGGATACCCTTTGTCTTTTTCTTATCTGCCAATGCTCCTCCTTAAAATTAGAAATTAAAAAAAATTATCAACCAGTTTTGTTTAAAAAACGAAAGAAAAGAAACAATTATTACAACACCCCACAAACATCATTAAGTATTTATAAGTGGTTGCGAATTGACTTTCCTGAATCTAATAATTTTAAATTTATTGACCAATAATTTAATGTAAATTTTGGTACCTATCTAAATTCTTTAAATTTGTTATTTTACGTTCATGCACAAAATAGTTCATAGGGTGGTACAACGCACTTTAATGCCATAGGGAATTCTATCAGTCAACTATTAAGCTAAACAGAGGAACATATAAGAGGTGGTGGAGCAAATAATCAAGAAGGGCTTTTTATAGGATAGGGTGACAAACGAGCACACAGTCCACCTGATGGTAAGTGGTTGCTGTGGCCCATAGACATCCACATCTATCCTCGATTACAAATAAAAATGCAGACGCGTTGTCACCCGTGAGGACTAAGATGAAATGCCTCGTTTCCAGTAAAAAGGGTCTCCGGTTCTCTACACTCACCATACGAAACAGTAGCATTAAGCTACTATTTTACGCTGGTATTCTGTGAGAGCGTGGTCCTTGCTGGACTACTGATATAACTGCTGCATGGCTCTACCACGTAAAAAAGGGCTGATAAAATACTAGCAATGATATTATCATTACTAATATTCCCCCTTAACCACCAGCTTAAAACGCTTGTGCTAGGGACGGTTCACGAGAGTAATCGAATAGCGGACTCGATTTCACACCTTTTGAGCTCGCGGCCCGTACCCTGCCATTAGGCTAACGTAATGATACCAATGATTTCAAAATGAAGGATTCCTCATACAAGAAAAAGTAGCGCATCTGTCATAATACAAACGTTATAACACAACGTAACCAGGGTCGGATTTCGTAGTATAATTATAATATTTATACAATTATTTCATAATGTGCAGTATTCAGTATCTTAATAATACTAGGCAAATTGCAATTCGTCATCGCACATGTGTAAACATTGTTTATGAGTCTTATCCTATCCATTTTTACCAGAAGCTTGATGACGGCAGCAGCTTCTCTCAGTTTGTGTGTCGAAATGAAAACAGAATTTTAAAATATTTTATGAATACGATGTTCAGTTTCAATTATGTAGGTATCGTTTCTTTTGTGTTCTTTTCGTTTTACCCTTACTGAATATAAAACATATTAGGTATTAGGTAAGTTCTTAAGACAAAAATAAAACAGAAATAATAATAAAACCAAAAATCAAAACGTATAAAATCACTAGCCACGTGACGTCAAAAATTTGGCAAAAAAAAAACAATAAAACGTCAAACTTGGTATAATTTTGGACAAATAGTATAACTTTATTTTCCCTGTACAAAATTAATTAAATTACACACTTCTGTAATTATCTTCCATGTTCATTTTGTATTTCTTTGATTTTTTATTAATTAATTTTTATAATATTCTTTTTTTCAGATTTTTAATAATTTTGTTACACATGTTTCTCATATAAGTACTTAATCTTTAGTTCTTCATTATCCGGTAACTTTTTAGTTTTCATATGTAGATTATCTCTTTTCCTTACATATAAATATTGTCTATGTCAGAACAAATATGAAATATATATCACATTATCAAATATTAAATACAAATAGTTATCATCTCTCAATCAAAATAAATCATACCTAAAAACGTTTCAGCCCTTTTCTTTATAACTACAGGATTAGTTGATATCACAGGATCTTGCATTGGAGTAACTGGATCTGAAACATTAGTTAATTTTCTTTCAGCAACATGCTTCACTTTTATAATTATTCCTTTGCTACTTTATATCATTGTAATACTTTTAGCCATGATTTTACACAGGCGTTTGTGACAAATGAGCACACAATCAAACTGATGGTAATTTGATGCTGTACCTATAGATATCTACATTTAAATTCAATTAAAAATTAAAATGCAGATGCGTTGCCACCCCTGAAGACTACGATAGAGTACCTCATTTCCAGTAGAACCTAAACACCATACAAAACTCACCCGCATTAAGCAGCGTGGCTCTACCACATATAAGTTATAAGAACTTCATTAAAAACATTGAATTATAATTACAATCATAGAAACACATTAAATATACAGAGTTAGTTAAACTTGAAACTATTAACTTAATTTTAAAACTATTTATTTAAAACTATATTTAAGACAGGTCCAATTAGTCAGCACGTACACCATATGACGATGGTTCAGGTAATGACCTCAAACCTGTCAGAAAATGCCCTCAGGATACCATTAGAACTGGCCCGCACCCTACGCACCAGGGATGTGCATCGGTTACGCATGGTGGTGTAGAAACAATCCACACGCGCATCCGCAAACAAACCCGGCGCATTACAGTAACGAGGCAGACCCAACAGCACCCTGAATGCTTTATTGTATTGAACACGCATTTAATCTGTAGCTTGTACCGCCAAAGATACGAAACGGCAACGTCGCGGCTGCTTTCAGCCAATCCGATCGTTTGTCTTATCATTTTCTGTGCTCTGATTGGCTCATTTAAATCGGATCAACATTTTCCGTAACCATCGCAAGGTGGATTTGTATATCGGATCAACTTCGGCAAACAACACATATATATATATATATATATATATATATATATATATATATATATATATATATATATATTTGTATTATAATAAAAGTTTATATATTATGTTCAATAAATTGAAACTGTTAATAAATGCCATCAAAATTCTGACTAACCAAGATTTTCTTTGTGAGATGTATTTCCTTCCATTTTTGTATGTAATTGATGTACCGAGCATTCAGAGTAATGATCTGAAACGAAATTCATAATATCAAAAGAAGAAAAGATTTAAAGAACCAAAATAAATATATCACTAGGGGTTAGGAGAAATGGGTGTTTCTCAGTGGATTGAGTGTAACTCCCACAACAATACAGTGTTAAGTTTAGAATATGAGTTGTTTAATTAAAGTAATAGACGGATCAATGTGTCTCCTCTCGTTAACATCTTTACCAACATTACATGGCGACCCTGCCAGGCAATGCGCTGCAAATATTCAAGTGCACAGTCACGCTGCATAGTTATTTAATTGTTAAATTGAAAAGAATTTAACTGTAATTTACTTTGTGCAGTATACAGGTTATTGTTTAAAGAGTAGCTAAATTTTAAATTAAGTTCAAATATATAAATGATAAACCATTATTGCAGTTTTTGTAAATATGAGCAAGTAAGGCTTCTAATTTTATTTGCATCTATCCCAAATTGAACGTGATTTATGGGACACCATGTTTTTGTCTACAGATTGACCCTTATAAATTAGTGCGTGCACAGTAATATCAGTTAAAATAATGCATTACCACGCTTTTTGAATTTAAAAGATAAAAACAGAGGAGTGTTATAAATTAAACATTTGTATCTGTGTGTCCGTCTAAAGCATCATAGTGGCCAAACAGATGGAATATAATTTAGCTTTTTTGTTGACAGGTGACTTGATCAAGAGATAAGCCGTTCAGCCATCTGAAGGCAATCATCTCAGATTGACCCTTATAAATGAGTGCGTGCACAGTAATATCAGTTAAAATAATGCATTACCACGCTTTTTGAATTTAAAAGATAAAAACAGAGGGGTGTTATAAATTAAACATTTGTATCTGTGTGTCCGTCTAAAGCATCATAGTGGCCAAACAGATGGAATATAATTTAGCTTTTTTTGTTGACAGGTGACTTGATCAAGAGATAAGCCGTTCAGCCATCTGAAGGCAATCATCTCTTTTATTAGTTTTGAGGTTTATTAAAATTTTATTAAAGTTATTTAACATGTACATAAGTTTTATAAATTTTATGTTAGATTATTCCATTATATTTGTAGAGATTTTATTGTGTTTAATTTTATGGATTTTTAGTTATCATATAACAATATATAGTATATATTTTAGACTCTTAGTTAAGTCAATCCAAATTTAGGAACTTCTGTATCATCTCAACCCTTTCTACTGGAAACTTCTTTCTTTTTTTTAGTTAAATAAATTAACATTTTTTCATATGTATATTAAGTCCCCTTGAAAAGGTCACATACTATGTTCAGCTGTGGACTTGTGATGTGCTGTAATCATGATAATACATATATGATCATATATATCAGTACCTGTTGATGTTGACGGTTCTGCTAGGTTCAAAATTTCTTTCATGGGTTTTCTTTTCATAACTGCTGGTTTATTTGATAATGTAGCTAAAAAGAAAATAATAGGATTAACTTTGAAATTATTTATATATATGGCAATAAAAAACAGGCCCAGTATCTGTGATGACTTGCAAAAAGTATAATTTCACAATATAATAATAATATATAACATTATTTAATGAAAAAAGTAGAAAAAGTGGGGTGATAACACATTGCCAACTTAATATTTATGAAAACTAGGCTTAATTATCATATCCTCATCCTTCTGTCAGCCGGAATCGCTACATGTATTATCCTTTTAAGCTCTATAGTGCATATAAGTAATATTTCATTTTATTCTATTTATTTAATGAATGAATCATTGTAAAAATTAATGCTATGTAGGTACCTACTCAATTAGACATATTTTACAATAAAACTATACATGTCATTGATAATATACTGTCCTGAATTAATTCTATAACATATTTACTTTTTCTGTAATCTATAAAGACAAACCTGGCATATTCAAAGTTGGCACAGCAATGTTACTAATTCTGTTATTTCTGCATTGAAATTTTTCTTCAAAATGTGAGTGACACACACGGCGATACTTGAATATGTGCATATTTTCGAGGCCTAGTATATCACCGCCAATTGCATAAATCCATACCCTAAATCGTTCACTTTCCTTTTCTGGGTTTGGAAATCTGTGAAGAACTAGCTTGCCTAAAATATTTACAAGATACATTTAAAAAAAGTCATACTTAAGTGTTAAAGCCTAAGACAAATAATGCCCTTGATGCAAGTTGTTTGGAGACGAGATGACTTACCCTTACTGTCCTTACATCCGGGGACACAGCAACGCTTATCTGACATAATTATTTAAATTATTTATTCTATGTAACAATGGAGACAAGATATCACAAAAAAACAAATCGTTGGAAATGAAGTTGTAAGAATAATAGGTAGCTCAATTCAACGTAAATAATATAATAGATAAAATAAAACAAAAAAATAACATAAAAACACTTTCATAAAATAGGAGCAACTCCACCAAATAAAATAAAATATTAGTTATTCGCAACTCCAATATCGAGAAACAAGTAGCGGGAAACGTGAATAAAACTATTCCATAATGGCAGGTTGTTGTGCTGCCAGATTCAGTTTCAAAAAAATATCAAAAACACCTAGTTACTGGATTTTTTAATGAATAGTTTTACGAAAGCATATGTAAGCAGTATTTATTTATAAGAAAATTTCAAAAATTTTCATTACAGATTTTATATTAATGTTAAACAAAAGCAAATATCTTAATTTCTGTTACACTTATTTTCTACTAAATAGAACTATTTTTTTTAAAGATTTTGTAAAGCTACCTGATAGATGAGACATACTAGATGTCGCCACTACCTATGTAGTGGCGACATCTAGTATGTGATGAACGAATTATTCGCTTGAAATTTCGAACAGTGTCACCTATTATTGTAGGTTGGAATAAATACGATTTTATAATACGACTAAAATAAAAAGTAGTCAATAGATATGGTTTTAAATAGTTTACTAAGTGCGTCTTAATTTTGCATAATAGTATTTCGTAGGTTTCCAAGTTTTATGTTCTAAGATTGTAGAGCCTGCATAAGTCTAAGACAAAACAAGGAGACTTTCAATATATGAACAACCCGGCTTCGCGTTTGTGTTAGTAAAATAAGCTCTTATTAAGTTAGCTCAGAGTTTAAATTAGTGTAAGCTATACGCAATCCTTGTGACATAATGAATGTAGGTAGTATTTTATTGACTCCCATTGTCTCGGCCAACGCGACGGTTGGACCGTAAACGTAAACAGATGACGCTTTCTAACGATAATGAATATAATATTATAACAGTCAATGGTTCATTATTCTAATGTGTTGTAAGATTAAAAATATATAATGAAATATATTATCTGTTGTATGTTATAACGCTCAACTTGGGTGACCGACCGCGCGCACAAATGCAGCTAGCCTCCCCCCTCCCGCACCTCACTAATCGTCGCTTCACACCGCTTGAGATAAGACGATCTACTATCAGGCGCTAACAAACCCCCGTCCCGGACATAAGGACCTATGTCCGCGAGTAAATTGGCAATTAGAAGACGCTTTGTATTGTTGGTTTTTACAAAAACGATCAACTGGGCAAATGATATCTGGCCCTTTGCTTTGTGAAAAAGCATTCCATTTAAATAAAAAATTAGGTGACGGCGGCTCGTTTGTCGCAAGTAACGGATGGTTATATAGATTTATATCTCTTCATGGAATTTAATCAATGTTTATTAAAAAATAATAATTTCTTAATAAACATTGATTTTCGTTGAAATTGTTGTTTTTAATAAACACATAACATTATGTATGTACATATGTACTACAAATGCACAAAACCCGCTTTTCTTCATACATTCGATCATCCGGATTTTCGATTATCCGAATCGATAACGGCAACAATTAGTCCGGTTAATCGAGTATATATATACATATTGAGAATTTAAACTATACGCGTGTGTGTGTTTGTGTGTATATAAAGAGGGCTACTTTTAATATCGCTCATTTTAATATCAAAAATGTAGGTTATCTTTATAGCAGTATTATATTTTCAATTCAAAATTAGTACTGCATTTGTGATAATAATAAAATGTAGGTATGTATATAGAGTACTCACTCATTTTCTTTCACTATTTTTTTCGTGACTTTCTTCATTAATAATAAATGCACTTTTTTCATTCATATTCAAAATTTCAAAACACTTTATACACAAACACCGTGTCGAAGACTGAGGAAAAGAAACGACGTTAGACCATCGTTAGACAATGCACGGCCTTCAAGCCACACCTCCGTGCCCGTCGGAGAGCGTGAGGTTTTTTTCGTTACAAAATTTCTGGATTTTCCCGCACTCAAGGCCCGCGATAGAAGCTATGCAATAGCTTAAAAGCTATGCAATAGCTTAATAAAAACTGAAAGTATTCCGGGTTAATTTGAACATTGGGACGTCAATTACATCATAACCCCCCGTGACCATGGGTACTATAAAGCACCCGAAACGCCGGGAATTAAAATTAAGTAAATTAAACACGACAAAATCCGTAAATTTTGCACATTCCATTAGCATTATATAGGTATAATTTTATTATATTAACGTTATAATTACTAAGTTATTAATAAATTTGCTTTTATTTAGGCTCCTAAAATTCTTTAATTCTCTAAAACATGTGTTAAAGTACAAGCCAAAAATGGAGTGTTTATAAACTTATTATATTATACATACACTATTTAAAAAAAGGTCACCAGTTATCTTCACTTACTATATGTTACACAGCACTAATACTACTATTAGCTAGTATAGTATATAATATATATACTATTAGCTATTAGCTAATATAGGCTGCTTTTCTGTGTAAGAATTCTTACTCAGTTGAGCTACACTACTCGTGCTGCAGTCATTATACTTTGCCGCAAGAGGGGGCAGACGAGCATGCAGCTCACCTAATGTTAAATGATTACCGCCATCTATGAACAACTGTAACACATTGAGCTATTATGTACTATTACTTCAATGACTGTAACACCAGGGGAATTGCATGTGCGTTTTTTGCTAGACTCTACTACGTAAATACATGAAACTCAAGATCATAAATATTAAATTAGGTACTGTATACGACAGTAAAGAGAAGGTTTATAAAATACATTGAAGTAATATGTACTTACGTACTAGAACAGCTATCTCAAACAAAAAATGTGCGTTACTCTGTGTTCGCGCGGTTGTTTTTTTATCATAGAATAAAAAGTAATACTAGATTGTATGGTTAAATAGGTAAATTACATAGAGAACAATATTTAAATTTTGTCTTTTATTTTGTATATTATATTTGCTTATTTAATATAATATTACATGATATTATATCACAATTACATTTTAATGATATTTTTATCTGAACATTTTAAAAGGTATCTGAGTCAAATATAAAAAAATATACTAAATGTATGTTTAACAAAACTTATTAAGATAACATTTAAATTACAAATATATTTATTTAAATCAGAATAAAAGTCGTTCATAAATGCTGGGCACGCGAGAGTTAAAAATGGATGAATTTATACCACTTTGATGTGGAAACCTAAAAATAAAATAAAAGAATAATACGCCGATTTAACCATGAAAAATTTTGCCAAATTATAATAACTTGTATATGTTTCTACAAAAAAAATGTGTATAATAATATATTCGTTCTATACTTAAGTGCCATGGTAGTTCAGATGGTTAGCGCTCGCTGTAAATTTCACAGTACGCGAGCAAACCGGGTTCGATCCCCACCGGCACCAATGAAATTGTTAATTGCAATTTTAATGCTGATTTACCACGTGCTCGGCGGTGAAGGAAAACATCGTGAGGAAACCTGCATGTCCGAGAAATAAGAAAAAAATTCGAAGACATGTGAAGTTCGCCAACACGTATTGGGGCAGCGCGGCGGACACTTCCTTGCCCTAAAACCCTCTCAGAAATGAGGGGAGGCCTGTGCCCAGCAGTGGGACGTATATAGGCTGTAACTTTTTACTTTACTTTTTATACTTAAGTACCCACAGAAATGTCGCATCTGAACATATTAATTTTATAATCTATATACCCTGACACGAGATGGCGTCTTAGGAATAATTTGTTTTATTGTTAATACATAATACTTTTTTATTGATTAAATATCTTTTTAACCGATGAAAAGTAATTCCTTGGTTTTTACTGACATTTCTTGAATTACTCGTATTTGTCCAATATCTAAGTACACACGAAGGCATATTTTTATCAAGAGATTTTTTTTAAATCAACACAACACGTGACAACTCTATAAGCGCCTAGCGAGTGACTGATTAAAGTGCGGTGTATGCACCACAGTTGAGTGGAACACGAGCTGAATGCAGTGTCGCCTCTAGTAAGTAGTACATAATAGCTCAATGATAAAATACGAGTATTTTAGGAGCTTTATGTCAGGAAGTAGGCACGAGCAGTTACGCCACCCTTTCAACTCCAAGCGTCATTACATAGTCATAAATTCAAATTTCGAATCAATGAATATGTTCCACATAAATATTATATATTTATAATGATAAAGAATTTTGTATTAAGTTCTTTTCTAATTTCTGAGTCTGAGAATGATTTAAAGAAATATTACATCTAAAACTTAACGTATTTTTTAATTTATTATATTTAATAGAATAAGAGTAACAAACAAGCAGACATTCCATCTGATTGTAAGTAAATATTATGGCTCAAGATATCTTCATCTATCCTCGATTAAGAATTAGAATATAGGTGCGTTGCCACCCCTGAGGACTAATATAATATAATGCCTCGTTTTAAAACGTACCTTCGGTTGTCGGCACTCACCATGCGAAACACAGCTTTTTTATGTTGGTATTGTGCAGGAGCGTGATACTTCTCCGGTCGAGGCGAGCCATTCGTACTGCAACTATAGTGCAGCTGCAGCATGACTCTACCACCATT